AAGCTACTTTGATGATGCTCTTTGCGATTCCGGTTCTAGTGTGAACCTTATGCCGGCCGAGATAGCCAAGAAGTTGGGATTGATCAATTCAATTGTGAAATCTCGAATGGATTTAAAGCTAGCTGATTCATCATTGACCGAACCACTTGGAGAGGTTAAAGACATTCAGCTTGATTTTGGAGGCTGCATAGTTCCAGCCAACTTCTATGTAGTAACCATGAAGGATCCGGAGGACTTAAAGCTTTTGCTTGGAAGATCATTCCTAGCCACAGCTGGAGCGATCATGGATTGGCCTAATAGAAGAATCTCTCTAGCCAATGTTGACAAGGACACCTTCTACGATGCTGCACCTCCCGGTTTCTCATCCAAGCGATTTCGCTACACAAGTGGAGGAGAGTGCTCACAAGTAAGAGGAGAGTCGCATGGCTACTTGATCAAGGAAGTTCTACAGGACAAGATGCACTTGGAATCATCAGGCAACAGGAAGTTCTTGGAGCCACCAATCCTACCTAACTAAGAACACAAAGGAGTCGAGCTACAAAGACTTAAAACAAGCGCTTGTGGGAGGCAACCCACATTTTCTTATCCCTTCCTCTTTTTATTTTTTTTTTATTTTTAACTACTTGTTCTATTTATAACTCTTAAATTTTTGAGAGTTTAATAAATTTTACAAAAATAAAATAAAAAGTGTTTTAGGAAAAAGTACCAAAAAGGAGGCTTACATGAAAAATGCATTGGAAAAGCTACATCGCCACCAATCGGCCCAAGGATCAACCATCTTTGGTCTAAGTATGAAGCATTGAGTCTAGTTTGAGTCCCACCCAAGTCCCACCCATGTTTCAAGAAGCAAAGAAGTCCAAGAAGGGCCCGGCACAACAAAATCCGGCCATTGGAACACTATTGCACAAGGCAAAGGTAAGTATCTCTCCATTCAAATGTCATTTCTAAACATTATCTCTATCAAATTCACACATGAACACTACTTGGATCTCTGATCAAGATCCCAAGTACATGTAGTGTTTCACGATCAAGTCTTTGATTGGGAAGTTCAAACATTTTGAACAACTCAATCATTGACAGAGTTTAACAAAGAGTTACTAGTGTTTTTCAGATAAAATATGACAGGAAACCGGTTCAAAATATCATACAAACATGGCGCGCAAGGAGCCACAACCGGCCAAAGGAGGATTTACATGCCAAACATGAGAGATGAGGGAAATCCAACCACAATTCAATCCAGGAGGGATAGAAAAACAGTTCGGTCGAAGCAGAACTCAATTGGCCCGAGTAAATAAGGAGATATCACATCACAACCACTCTCTCGGCCAGAATCGACGAACCAAGCGACAATGCTCGACCATCTCCCAAACGGCACGACCGAAGTCCACCAAACTTCACAGGCGACCTCAAAACATCATTTTGGTCGGCAAATCCAAAAGATAGGACGAAAAAGTGCCTGCTGAGATAGACGAAGGAAGCTCAATACGGCCGACGGCGATGCATAGAATGGCCGACGAACTCAAAACCTCAAGAAGGCGCGAACACCGGTGGAAACTGATCCTCTGGAGTCCAAAAAACACCAAGGAAGAAGAAAGGAAGGAGACGATCGAACAGAATAAGAGATGGCCAAAGGAATCACATCCCGAAGCCATTGGCGCGCACAACGAAAGATCTCCGAATCCACACGTTCAAATCGCCTCAAACTTCACAAGGAGCCACAAAACATAAGGTTGGTCGATGAAATTCATTTCAGTACAATGAATTCCTTACAATTCAAGAGATGGCCGATGGAGTGAAATTTGGCCGATCGCGAGCAAGTAAAATGGCCGACAATCCAAATCACGGCATTTACCGCGGCCACCGGCTCAAATCACCTCCATCAAGCATCCACATCGCATCTAAAGAAGAAAATCCAGATTGGAACGAGCAGAATTGGAGAAGCCGAAGGAAGACGTTCCCGGAGCCAATTTGAAAATTTTTCAAAGGAGATCTCAAACCACTCGTTCAAACGACCCCAAACTTCACCAGTCGCCATATTATACAATATTGGTCGACGAAATTTCAAGATAGGTCGAGGAAATCTTCACGGTTCGAGCTGTAGTCCATACCATCACCATCCGGTCGACCAAAACGGACCAGTCTCGGCCAAAAAGGCGAAAAACAGAAAACCAAGGGAGAATTGTCACATTCATCCAACCAAATCCAACAGCTATGATGTTTGCACCAGTCAGTTCATTCCTGGAAGCAACATATGCACAACCGATCTTCACATCAAAGGCCAAAATTTGGGTACAATTTTCTACAAACTCTAACTTTTCCATTCTATTTATCATTACCTCTCTTAATTGGATTTTTCTTACACCGAGACGGTGCAAGTTAAGTCTGGGGGGATTACTAACAAGTTTGTTCTTTTTGAATTTCATTGAGTCGTTTTATTGAGTCAAAATTTTGTCAAAGGATTATGACCTTATCTTGGATCTAACCATTGTTGTGCTAACGTTTAAGTGACCATTGAAGCAGTCTTGGCAATACATCTTACCACAGGGACACTATGAGTTGATCGATCTACCAAAAACGCCCACACCTCCAAGGACTTGAGAAGGATCCACTCTTGACTCCGCCCTTAATGAACTTAATCTTCTCAGCTAGGGGCTTGGCATACAAATGGCATGATTCCTCATCCTCTCCATCAAATGAAAAAGTCTTAGTGAGTTCGTGCTTCCCTCTCTCTCCCCTTCAAATTTAAAGAAAAAGCGTAAGGTCCAAGTAACCGGGGATTCGGTGGCAAACACCATCAATACTCGCGTCTATGGAAGGCCTATGAATCCAAGCAACCGGGGATTCGGTGGCAAACACCATCAATACTCGCGTCTGTGGAAGATCCAAGCAAAACCTCTATAATAAAGAGAAGGAGTTGAATAAAAAAATACTTCGCTACCCTAAAAAAGGGATGAATCAACTCAAAGAAGTGAGAAGAGAGAGAGGAGAAACATGGAGTAAAAAGACAAGTGCCAAAACAAGGGGATGAGAAAGAGTCTAAAGCCGGCTGATCGATACTCCCTAGTTGAGACCACACCTTTAGAAATGAAAGGAGTCAAGGAGGGTGAATTGGATTGTCCAAAGAGAGGTGGACCGCCTTTGGAAAATCGCAAAACTCATGGTATGTACTCTTGTTCTTAATTCAAAATTTGCCAACTACTTTCATGTGGATTACTAAAACCAAGCCAACCCGGATTTCCTAATGATTTGAGAGTTCTTGCGTTTTCAAACCTCTCTTCCTCTCTTAGTTTGCTTGGGGACAAGCAAAAGGCTAAGTCTGGGGGAGTTGATATACCCATATCTTTCATGTTTTTATCAAGGTTTTCACTATGTTTTTAATACAAATAATGTGGTTTTTATGCCCAAGAGGTAGTTTTCTTGTATATTCTGGTTTTGAGCATCATTCAGGTCAAAATAGCAAAGAAGAGTCAAAATGGAGCAAAAAGAGTCAAATCACCAAGTTCCCAAGTCTAGAGCACCAAATCTACATTTCTCGCTAAAGACCAAACCGGAGCATCCGAAGTACGACCGCATATTCATGCCTTCCCGACGTCCAAAAGTCATGATTCTTATATGGAAAGATAGATATTTGAGTCATGACCCGCGGCGAAGTGGAAAGAGGTCATTTGGATCACTCGTTGGACCGGAACTTATTTTCTACCAAGACATGTCCGACGAGCGCCTAAGTAGAGCCCATGGAGACTTTGATGGATCAAGAGGCCCGAGATACCGCGCCCAAGGCCTTGGCTCATCTTGACACTAGCATAACTCAATCCAGAAGCTTCCATTGGCCTGAACGCGGCCCATTCAAGAACTTGGAGAGCAAGCTCAAGCGGCTAAAGAGAAATGGAAACTTTCCTCTTCTGCGCGCGCTCAACTTTGCCGACCTAGACCCGCTCTCTACCTATATATACTTGCTTTTAGCCTCTTGTAATAAGAATCACCAGCCGCATAACAAGAAACACTTATTCAATAAAGTTCGGAGCCACTTAGGTGGTCTCCTTCTTCTTTCTTTTCTTCTTTTGCATTTGTATATAGCTTGCATGTTTCAATTTATATAGTCTAGAAGTAGAGATTTCTCCCTAAGGGTGAGGCGTGGTTTAGTCATATTCCGCCGCCTCTCTCTCTAAGGATTCATGAGACTTCATCTACTATCTAAGACTCATTGTTGAATTATGGATCCTTCCAATGAGGACGTGATATAATGGCCATCTTGAATCGATTGTTAAAAGGGGAAACCCTATGGTTCTCCATCTTTATTTATGCTTAATGCTTGTTGCTAGAGTAGCTAACTAGTGACTTGATTTTAGGTTGATATACTCTCCAAAAGCTTGTTATATCTCCGGACACAATATTTGATGGGCAAATCGTTTTAGGCTACGAAAGTAGACCTAAAGAGTTTTGTGAACAATCATTACTTGGATGTAATGCATGTCTCACTCTACAATGACCAACGAAAGCTGAGCCCATTGGTTTAAGAGACATAGGGGATTGGAACCACGAAAGTGGAATAATCCTTCCTTAGTGTTTTGAGTTCAAAAGAATCGGATTTTAACAAACTTTTCAATCGACTTGGCTCATGTTTTCAAAAGAGTTTTCAATAGTTCAATAATGTTGCTTGTATAGAATTGCATTGTTATTTCTTTTGCGTGTTCTAAACAAACACAAACCCTTGCATCTTTTGATTTAGCTTAGTCATTTAAACTCTATGATTATGTAATGTGTGAAATCCAATCCCTTGTGGTTCGACCCCTAAATACTACAATTATATGTTGTGCACTTGCAACACTAGTTGTCTTAGGGAATTATTACTTGTACTCATCCCATAAGATGCAGCGCATATCACGTAACAGCACGGAAACCCGATTAAGGCACGAAGAAGGGAACTTTGGTTCATTTAACACTTACTGGTTTGTCGAGAGATGAAGCATGGCTTTTGACTGGGGATTTCAATGAGTTAGATGGATAGTTCAAAGAAGTTGGGAGGACCTCCGAGAAACAAGTCGTCTTTCTGGGATTTCCACACTATGGCTATCAACTGTAAATTGCATGAACTGAGAAGCTCTGGCAACAGATTTTCTTGGGCTGGTTGGAGAGACAAAGTGAGGGTTCAATGGCGTTTGGACAGGAGTTTCGGCAACGACGGATGGTATCAGTTATTTCCTTGCTCTCAGTTGGAGTATATGGATATGTGGGCATCTGATCATAGACCCCTCAAAGTTTGTTTTGCTATGGAGACTGAATTGCTGAACAGAGGAAGGTTTCGAAGACGTTGTTCAACGTGGATGGAATGCACACAACTTGGGAGAAAATTGTACTGTTCTGGATCGTATCAGCAGTTGCAGAAAAGAGATGTCGTGAAGGAAAATAACTTATGATCTTAATTCTCATAATCAACACAGCAAAAGCCCTTGTGCCTCTCCAGGTATTGACACATCAGCTTTTTAAAGCTTTCTACACTTGACACATCATTTAAAATGAACAACCAATAGAAACATTCTAAATAATACCAGTCAGCAATTTTAACAAAATTTAAACACGTCATCCGTCTTATAACGACTGCGTTTTGTCTTCTCAACGTTTCTTCTTCTACCCTTCTTCGTCACTGAATTTGCCGGCGGGTTTCTTTCTACTCAAATCCAGACTCTCATTCAAACACTAAAATAGCAGCACGAGCAGATGTGGAATTTGGTGCTTAAACACTAGGGAGTGTCCTGACGAGTTTGGATTCTGGTGACTCCATTGTTATCTCCAAGCTTTCTCTCACATGTTTAACTTAGCTAATTTAGATGAAAAGGTGCAGATTGCTTACCGGCGCAGGATCAAGAAGCTGAAGAAGGGTGATTTCGTTAACGAGAGCTCTGCGAGTACCGAATCAGATATCGAAGAGAGAGACTTTGAATACAAGAGGCTCGTTTCGGATCTTCGTAAGTCTCCTGAAAGAGATCTTTGATGCCTTGAAGAATTAGACTGTGGATCTGGTTTTGACTGCTCATCCTACTCAGTCTGTGCGTAGATCGTTGCTTCAGAAGCATGGGAGGTTAGTATTTGACTTCCTTTGGCTTCTCTCTGTTTGCTTAAGAGAGTGAGTCACACAACTCTGATGAAAAGTTTAAAAAATGGTTTCTCAGGATAAGGGATTGTCTTGCTCAATTGTATGCAAAGGATATTACTCACGTTGACAAGCAAGAGCTCGAGAGGTATAATTATAATCTCAACCTCAATGGAGTTTTGATTTGATATTATCATCAGAAATGATGAAAAGATTGGTTTATTATAACACTCTCTCCTGTGGTGTTTAGATTCAAGCTGCATTCCGAACAGATGAGAGTAGAAGAACACCTCCGACTCCACAAGATGAAGTGAGAGCTGGAATGAGCTATACATGCGACAACAAAGCTTTTCCTCAAGATTCTTCTGCATTTTTTTTTATAAGGATGATTCTTCTGCATTAGCTAGCTATTTCCACTAATTGCTACATTTTGAGATTTTGTTTAAAGTTTAACCATGTTAAATTCGTGTTTGTTCTTGGTTAATTCACAAAAGCAAACCATAAGCTCTGGAAACCAGAGAAGGGAATCGGAGAAGACCGAGTGATAAAGTTTGATTTTTTAAATGAATAGTTGGAGAACATGCTCTTGTCACCAAACTTGTACCTTGATACTGACAAATCTAAACAAAGTGTTATTTAACGGACTCCACCTAAACCAGTGTGATATTAATAAGTATAGCCCACATAATTATGTACTCTAAACCGGAGTGATCTTAATAAACTTAATTTGGTGTGATCTTAATTAGTTTAATTACTTTAACCTCATCAAACAAATATTTGTAACACAATTTCTTTAAAATTTCATGTTTTTAATATAAATTTGGCAGGAAACTTCAAATAAACAATAAATATAGTAAATTAAATTTTGGGATAACAAAAAATATGTGTAAATAATTTCAAAATGCAAAATAAAAAACTACAAAAGTCTTCCGCAAATTGGTTAAAAATGTTATTTTATTACTATCAAAACCTAAATATTACGGGTTTAGGATCATGTATTAACGGTTAAAGGTCGGTCCGGTATCAAAAACTCTTATCCAAAATATATCCATAAAACAAAAGTTGAATACTAAGGGACACGGTTTAGATACCAACAAGACCATGTAATTATAATTTAAACTGTAATTTTCATAATTAAAAATACAATCATATGGATGTAAATATCAGTCGGGTAAAAAAACTGTTACCCAAAATTTATCCATACATCAAAAGTTAGATATTAGCGGGCAATGTACGGATAAGGACAAAATAATATAAATTATAATCCAAACTGTTATTTTAATAAATAAAAATACAATGAAACAGATGTGAAGGTCAGTAGATTATCAAAAGTGATTACCTAAAATTTATCCGTAAAGTAAAAGTTAGATATTAGCAAGAAAGGTTCGTGTACAGATTATATCATTTAGTTATAATCCAAATAGTTATTTTCATATCGATCGGTCGGTATCAAAAACTATTTAAAACGAGAGAAGCTTGCCGAGAGATGTAAAGGTCCATTGTTTAAAGTTTAGCTTTAGTGTCGCGGAGACAACAAATAGTTAGTGCCAAACCATCACATTAATTTGAAAGAAAACGTTCCAAACAATTCCTAATTTAATTTTCAATTTTATCAATATTTTAAAACAAATAGCTATAAACTCCTGCGGCAGAACTTATAATAAGTATATTTTTTCAGAGTGCAAAAAGTCTCCCGCAGCGGAGCGCGGGTATCAATCTAGTGTCATCAAAAGGCTCAAAAATATCTTGGAAGCCAAAATCTCCAAATAGTTTCCAGACATTGCTTTGATGCGTAAAACAAAGCAAGAGTTGGTTGTGGCTTACATACATGAGGATCTTTTTTGGCGTCAGAAAAGTAGAGAGCAGTGGCTCAAAGCGGGAGATCGAAATACCAAGTGCTTCCACAACTGTGTGAAGGGTAAGAAGATACAGAACATGATCCTCATGCTTAAAGATGACTTAGGTGTTGAGAATTTTTCTGAAGGTGCTAAAGGTAATATATAGATGTGGCGTACTTTAGGGATCTTTTCCTCAGTACCAACCCCTACGATTTGGAGTCGTTATTTCAAGGTTTCCAGGAAAGATTTTCTCCTGACATGAACTCGTTCCTTACGTTGCCAATTACCAGTGAGAAAATCAAACTAGCTGCTTTCGGTGTGAAGAGCAGTAGCGCTCCAAGAGATGATGGGCTTTACTTTCTATAAAAAAATACTGGCATATTGTTGGTCACAATGTAATAGAAGAGGTCCGAGGCTTTTTCAACACAGCGATGCTTCCTCCTGACTGGAATCACACACAGATTTGCTTGATACCCAAAGTTACAAACCCCACATTAATGAAGGATATGAGACCAATTAGCCTCTGCTCAGTTCAATACAAAATCATCTGGAAGATATTGTATGACCGGCTCAAGACCTCTTTACCAGCCATTATGAGACCCAAGGTGCGTTTGTATCGGCCGCTTGATATCTGACAATATCATGATTGCCCATGAGATGGTTCATTGTCTCCATACCAATCCCAAAGTTGTAACAAAGTTCATGGCTGTCAAGACAAATATGTCTAAAGCATATGACAGGGTTGAATGGTGTTTTTTTGGAAGTACTCTTAGAGAAAATGGGGTTTGATAGAGTTTGGATCCGTTAGGTGATGTCCTCTGTTAACTTAGTGACGTATACGGTTCTGCTCAATGGACGTGCACATGGTTTTATTAGACCTGAACGTGGTATTAGGCAGGGAGATCCGCTCTCTCCCTTTTTATTCATCCTATGCCCTGAAGTCTTAGTAAGTTGCCTAAATCATTCTGAAGCGATGAGGAAGCTCCATGGTACTAGCTTGGCTCCGTCTGGTCCTTCTGTCCACCATTTATTATTTGCAGACGACAGTCTGCTTATGTGCAGAGCTTCGAAAGAGGAAGCTGAGGAGCTTATGAGATGCCTTAAAAGCTCTATGGAGAGTCTTCTAGACAGATGATCAACTTGATGAAGTCCTCTATTATTTTTGGTAAACGGTTACTATGGCTGATTGCGGTGAAGTGAAGATAGCTCTGGGGATACATAAAGAAGGAGGGGATGGCACTTATCTTGGATTACCCGAGAGTTTAAGTGGTTTCAAGAGGAAACTCTTAAATTTTATCCAAGAGAAACTCCAGGGTCGTCTACATGGTTATTTCGCTAAAGACCTCTCTCAAGGTGGGAAATAAATTCTTATAAAATCTGTGGGTTTGGCTCTTCTTGTGTTTGCCATGTCTGTTTTCAGACTCCCTAAAGATCTGTGCAGTAAACTTACCAGCGCCATGACCCAGTTTTGGTGGAGTAGTTGTGATAATCGAAAGAAGATTCCTTGGGTAGCATGGCAGAAACTCTGCAAGGATAAAAATAAATGAGGTCTTGGTTTCCATGATATTGGAAAATTCAATCAGTCTTTACTTGGAAAGCAGGCTTGGCGAATCTCGAAGCGTTCAGACTCTCTCCTTGCACAGATTTTGAAACATCATTACTTCAAAAACAGTGACTTCCTTGAGTGTTCTGCATGGAGAAGCTTGTTACATGGGATAGAGTTTCTTAAAAAGGGTCTAATGAAGTGTATTGGAGATGGGAAAGAGACGCATGTATAGGGTGATAAATGGATTCTAGATGGCCTGCCGAGACCGCCGGATTACAGAGTTGACAGTACAATTGATTTATCTATCCATGTCTCTGATCTGATTGACCCTAATACATCACAGTGGGATGTTAACCGAGTCTCTCTGACTTTTAGTCCAGCTGATGTACAAAGAGTACTGCGGATCAAACTGGTCTTCTCCTGTAGTGACTCTTTGGTTTGGGTCTTTCTAGGGATAGTTCTTACACATCTTGAAGTGGATATAAACTCCTTGACACTATACATGACATGGAATCTCCTATACAGACTGGTCTGCCTCCTCTTGAGAAAAAGCTGTGGTCAAATCTATGGAAGATTAGAACTTCCCCAAAAATACGCCACTTTATGTGGAAAGCTTAGTCAGGTGCCCTTGCGGTAAAGGAGCGTCTGTGTACCTGTGGTAGCAAAATGGACCCTACCTGCAGCTTCTGTGAGACAGGTTTAGAGAGTTTTTTCCATGTTCTGTTCACGTGCGTCAAAGCTAAGGAATCTTGGGATCTATCTCAAATACCTTTACCTTCTGCAGGTTTTTAGCTCATGCAATCGCAGTAAGTGTTATTGCCAATGATATGTTTCAATTATACGTTGCCAGGAATGGTCCTTTATGGTTGAGGTTTGCTATTGAGGAGGATGTTCGATATGGTTAATCTCTGTTTGCCATAACCATTTCTCTGCAGCTGCTGCCTGTCCCTGGTTTTGATTTGAATATGGCCTGTTTGTCTCTGGCCCTTTCTATCTCGGAGCTCTATTGAGTCTCCTCTCTAGTAGCCCTTCTTATATTTTCCTTTTTTAACTCTCTATTTGTTGTTTTGTTTTTCCGAATTTTGGGTTTGTTGTTCTTAGGCCTATTGGTCTAGCTGCCTAAACCCTTTGTAGTTCGAGTTCTTTCTTTATACCCAGAGTTAAAAAAAGAAAAAGAAAAAAGAACAACATTTAATATGAAATCAAAGGAAGTCTCTCTAGAATACTTTACTACAACACTACTAGGCAAATATTTTTGTCGAAACAACAATACTTCCAAGCAATTGAAGTAGGTCAAACATTTGTCTATTCTCAAATAGAGAGATATATAGATCTTGAGAGAAGATAGAATTTGGAACTATTTATTACCTTATGAAATGTGAGTTAACTAGAAGCTTATATATCTTGATTATTTTTGTCGACATCTCATAAAAGTGATATCGGAAATACAATGACAGTTAACGATAAAAAACACGGATCGGATTCGTATACTGTCAAGTGTCAACCCTTTGGATAAAATGCTGCGTCTGTTACCCATCTTTCTCGGTGAGCATATATGGTGTGACATCAGGTTATTTTAAAGGGAAGACTGGTTTAAGGCAAGGGGATCCGTTGTCCCCTATTCTCTTTCTCATGATTATGAATGTTCTTTCCCTTATGCTTAATAAGGCGGCAACGGAGGGATCCTTTGATTATCATCCAGGCTGTGAGGATCTTCAGCTAACTCATCTTTGCTTTGCCGATGATCTACTTATTTTTTTGGAGGGATCAGAACGTTCTCTAAGTGGTGTTCTTTCAGTTCTCTCTTCATTTGAAAGGATGTCAGGTTTGGGGATAAATTTGCAGAAGACTTCGATGTTTTGTCAAGGTCTAGACATGACTTCTCTTGACAACCTTCAAGCTTTCTTCAACCTGAGGGTTTCTTCTCTTCCCATTCAATACTTGGGACTGCCTCTTTCTTCTAAGAAACTCTCTATCACTGATTGTGATCCTCTAATTACTCTCATCAAAAAGAGGTTGGACTCTTGGACCAATAGGCTCTTGAGTTTAGCTGGTAGACTCTCGTTGATCTCGTCTGCCATCTCAGGGATCATTGGTTTTTGGACAAGTGCCTTTATCCTTCCAAAGAAGGTTATTAAGAAGATCAACAGTCTTTTCAGTTCCTTTCTGTGGCATCCGGAGCAAAGGTTGCTTAGAAAAATCTCTCATCTCACAAAGATGAAGGCGGTCTGGGTATTAGGGATATCGAGAGTTGGAACAATGCTTGCGTTTTGAAACTGTTGTGGATGTTGTTTTTCAGAGCTGGTTCTATTTGGGTGGCCGTAAGAGATCTTTCATCTTCCTCTTTCTGGGCTTTAAACGATAAGAACTCCTCCTACTCGTGGATGTTCAAGAAGATTTTGCAGTTTCGATCTAAAGCCACACAGTTTCTTAGCATTAAAATTGGTCGTGAGGATTCTACTTTCTTTTGGTGGGATCCTTGGACTCCTTTTGGCTCTCTTCATGCTTTTCTAGGCGAAGATGGACCTTCCCGTTTAGGTATTCCTATCTATGCTACTGTCTCAGAAGTTTGGAATGGCACGGGATGGGTTTTATCTCCTTGACGTTCAGAGCGTCAACTCTTGCTTCATACTTTTCTCTCCACCATTGGATGCTCTTCTCTTTGTGATCATCCAGTTTGGTCTATTAATGGTTCACCTCAGCGATCTTTCAGTCTACTGGGGTTTAAAATGAGATCTGTTCTATCAAACCTGAGGTGTTCTGGGCATCTTTGTTATGGCATAAGGCTGCTAGCTCATCATCAGACTACTACTTGGCTGTTTATTCTTAATAGAAGCCCTACTCTAGATCGTTTGTCTGCTTGGGGCTATGCTACGGAAGGGACCTGTCTACTTTGTGGATCGGAGTTGGAGACACGAGATCACTTGTTTTTCGAGTGCTCCTACTCAGCTTCAATTTGGAGACGGCTCACGCTTCATCTAAACATTCTAAATGTGCCGGTGCATTGGTCCATGTTGTTAAGTTGGCTTAATGTCACTCCTCTTGAAGCATCTAAAAGGCTTGCCCTACTTCAAGGATGGCAAGGAGCTGTCTACGAAATCTGGAAATAGCGTAACAGAAGATTTCATCATGGAGTTACCCCTCCTTAGGGGAAAGTCTTTAATTTGATTCTTTGTTCTGCAAAGGATAAATCCAGAGCTATGTCCCTTTTAGGTTCTTCTTGCGGAGATTCAATTCTCCATCAGTGGTCTCTCCCTAATGTTTTGGGTTTATCTTTGTTTTTATTTCACTTCCTGGCTGTAAGTTCATGTTTGCTACTTTGTAGCCTGTACGCTTTCCTGGCTGTAAGTTTATATTTGCTACTTTGTAGCTTGTACGCTTAATTAATATAATTATAAGAAAGTCCTTTAACAAAAAAAAAAAGTGTCAACCTCGTGGCACTAGTGATACAAATCGTTAAATACAAATATAATCACTTTTACAAATCAAATAACCACAAAATTATTTTACCAAACCATATATAAAAATATATATATTGGGAGAAATGCATTTGTTTAGGAAAAGTGAATATTGTTTAATAGCATGCTAGTAAGAACACCTGCTGAAACAACCAACACTTTTTTGTTTTTTTGTATTTTATAAATAAATACTAATCAATTCTAGTAAAGGTCTTTAAAGTATATTAAATAAATAAATATCAGTAACAAATAAATCAGTTCAGCAGAAGCAATAATAATTAAACAATTCTAGCAAAATGTTTGGGCAAAATTTAACCGGTTCGCAAGTACAATAAACGGAATGACGCAGGAGAAGATATCTTATTAATCAATTGAATATCGAGCTACAACAAGTCAATATCAAAGATTAAACTAAGAGAATCTCGTCTGTCGCTCGTCGTAGATCGTAGTTCGTCGTATCTAGGTTGTTCGTCGCTTGCTCGTCGAGAGGCGAAGAACAAGTAGCTATTAGGGTTTTTGTGTGTTTTTCTGAATGTCCCCTTGTCCTTGTTATGGGACCTCTTATTTATAGGTGCTTGTCGATCCTAATCCTTGTTGAGTTGGGCTTTGACGTCGGTCGTAATATTCCATTTCCTACGTCGGTCGTCATTCCTAATTTCCTTTTAATTAGATATGCACGTCGGTTCTCTGCACAACTCTAATAGATTTAGGAAATTGTACAAACCATCGGTCATTGCTAAACCATTAATTAACATCGTTGGTCGCTGCCTCGTCATGTCGATGCTAAGGCCTTTTAGACACTAAGAAGTAAGATCGACCGGTGGTCATCATGGTCGTCAGTCGATCATATCTCCAGCTTGTAATAGAGTTTAAGGAGCGACCGGCTAGTGAATTTATTTCACCCAACAACTTGCCCCCTACTCTTCAATTTCTTGTTTAGAATTTGTAGAGTAATACTTCATTTTCATATCGTCGGTCGGTCGCTTGCTCATGTCACTTGTGTGACTGTTGTTAGTTTACTAACGTCGATGTACAAAAAGCATATATGTCTAATGGCATTGTCCCTTTTAACATATTATCTGTGCACATACTAATGGAGCAACATAACATATAATTTAAATAAAAGATCCCAAAGACATACCTTTTTTCTTCGTTCGTCGATGGCTTATGCGAGTGACAAACTCTTCTTTCAAATCATGTGGAAATAACTAAGCAAAATAAGAGGGACGTACTTATTTTAATATCCATGTGGGATTGATTAAGAATGGAGATGGACAAGCTTCTTTCTCCAATGACCAATGACAAAGTTTTATTCTTGAAGCATGTACGTCCTTCCCTTTTTTTCCATGTGGGTCCCAAAGAAGTTGTACTTGACCACTCATGTAGCTTTATTAAAATTGAGGAACGACGTACATTAATTATGTAGTTGTGTAT